GGCAAGCCCCTTACCGGGGTTTAGCTGCGGGCTCTTAATGCAGACCTAACGGGACTGAATATATCTGGGATGTGACTTATGAATGTCAGTAATAGGAGTGATCCAGTGCGAAGGAAGCCACAGGAATTCGATGGGAAGGCTCCGTGGGAAGCATATAGAGCACAGTTTGAGTTACTGGCAGTGATGAATGGATGGACAGAGGAGCAGAAAGCTGTATATCTGGCAACAAGCTTGAAGGGACAACCACTGGAAATACTTGGACAGTTGTCAGCAGATGACAGACACAACTATAGAGCACTGGTAGCGGCTCTAGAACTCAGGTACGGAACCCAAAATTAGTCAGAAGTCTACAGAGCTAGGTTTAGGACGAGAGTCCATCCTAAAGGGGAGAGCCTGCAAGAGCTGGCACAGGACTTGAAAAGCATGGCACACAAGGCCTACCCAACTGCACCACCCGATCTCCTCAAGTTGTTGCTGAGAGATCAGTTCGTAGATGCCTTGGACAGTCCACAACTTAAGATACAAGTGAAGCAAGCACACCCCTCTACCATGCAGGATGCAATGGCCAGAGCTCTCGAATTTGAATCCTACGTTAAGTCCAGCATAGAGGTACCGAGGTTGGACAGTCATCTGGATTCAAGGTCAGAAAAGGTCAGCTTTCAGAGAGGTTTGAGGGATTTTGCTGGCACTGTAATAAACCTGGGCACAAGAGAGCTCAATGTTGGCAACTTTAACACAGGGGAGGTGCCACAGCAGGAAAGGCTGGTATCCAGAAAGGTTGTTGGAACTGTGGGGAGCACGGACATTTGAGGAGCCAGTGTAGGAAGAATATTACCAACAAGTCGGCCTCAAGGAGACCAGTAGGGGTTGGTGTTGAGCGACGCCCACCAACCCCATCTTGAAAGTCCCAACAGCTAGGTGTAAAATGCCAAGCACACACAGTGTCTATGTGACAGGAAAGCTGGATGGCCAAAGGTGCAACTTTGTCATAAACTCTGCGTCTCAGCAAACCCTTGTAAGCCTCAAGGTGTTAGATCACGAAGGAGTGCCAGAAGCTATACAGAAGCTTTATGGTGTGACAAGACATTCTACATGACTGGGGACCAGTGTGGGTAACAATTGAGCTCATGGGCATAAAGGACAGACAAGAAGTATACTTGGCTGACATTGATGACGAATGCATATTAGGATTGGACTATCTACTACCGAGGAAGTTTGTAATTGATTTTGATAAAATGACGTTTGGGAACAACAAAGGTCAAGTTCCTGTAACTGTTAAAAGAGAGGTTGAACTAATTAGGTGTCATCAAGCTAAAGTCAAAGTGACTGAAGAAGTTGATGATGGTGAAGTGAAACCAAATATGGATATCAAAGCAGAACAGGAGAAAGACCAAGATTTGAAGCCAATGATTGATTTCCTAAAAGCAAGTGTTGTGTGCCCTGCTTGGGAGAAGGTGTCTAGTCTAAGCCCAGTGACAAAGTACTACTGGGTGCAATGGGACCAGTTGAAGCTTGAAAATGGAGATGGGAAAGTGACGACTTGACAAACGGTTATACCGAGGAATTTACGGGAAGT